ATGTTGAATGCAGCACTGATTCAAAGTCTCTAATTTCATATGAATTAGAAACTCAAATTACTGATATTGACAAGCTAGAATATAAAATAAGAGCCTCTTATCTCTTCTATTTGCTAAAATATTGCTCACGTAATAAATCAAACTCAGTGGCACCCTGCTCACCTCTTTCCATATTTGGAAATGCTCCCTTATACTTCTATGTATGACATGAATAACCAATTAGAAGCTCAGAACATCCCCCTAGTGGCTTTCTTAGCCATTTTATTTTCTTAGGTTGCCATATTTTTCTTTTGAACCAAGATTTCAAGGACATAGGTTGTGTCTTTAGTCTGCTCGAAATTTCATATTTTTTAGGCCCAAATACAGCTTAGTTACTAAGTTTGATAAATTATAGTAGAGTTCTACTATTCTCCAAAATTTTTAAAGGCTTAGCAACCTATGTCAAGCAGCAACCGAGTACAAGGGTCGTAACTAGAAGAGATAATTGTTTGCTTTACTTCTTTATTTATTGTTCTATGTTTTAGGAAAAATAAGTTTAAGAACTTATTTCAAAATAGCAATAACCAATATATATATAATGTATAATAATTGAAATGAGACTATTTTACAAAATACTAGTCGACTAAAACACAGCCAAGACAAGTTACTTTGTACAGACAAAATATCACCTTTATGTTATTTGATACAGTAACGTGAGTGCACGTGAGCCATGTCGTTGTAACTTCTGTATTGTTAGCTAGGCATGAGTGAAAGGTCAATATAATAAATATATAAAACGTATAATGTTATGAGATTTAAGCTATTTCATCTAAACATTTATGTTTTTGTCTTATAATTTGTCTTCATTCTAGAATGAAAAAGGCATAATTTATGTGTATTTCCTAATTTTTTATGGTGGCTGCAAGATTAGTCAAATGTATCAAACCCATAGAGAGATTAATTATTGAAAATAACAGATAAAAATATAATGAAGTTTTTTCTTAAGAAATGTTTGATAACGATCTGGATATTATAAAGATTTTGCATGTTAAATTTCAAAATTTTCTGATGCGTAAAAGTATTTTTAATCTTAAAATGAATATTACTTTGCATGATAGATGGGCAAGATGTGAAAAAAGGCACGAGAGAAACATAGCTTTACAAACCTTAAGACTTAATTAAAAAAAAAGTTATATTTTGCGTATGAAAGCATTGTAATATTTACAATTAATCTTCCAAATTTCATTAACATTCACTTACTAATTTAAAAGTTATAGCATGAAAACTATAACAAGCACAAAATGGTTACGAGGTTGGTCCCAGGGACCAAGCCTGGGTTGAAAGAGTTAAACAACTTTACTATCAATGTATTTTAATGAAATTATCATTATCATGTATATTATCATTCAGAGTTTTATATTATCTAACTTTTAATTCCTTAATTTCAAAATAAACCTTTAAAAAAAATACTTAAACTTTAATTTTGTTGTTACGTGACATACAAGTGTTCACAGACCTTAACTTTTTGTCTCTGTTACATAAATAATAGCACATGTACAGTGTAGAGATTATGTCTAGACTGAATTTTTAACCTACAGTACTATTTATACACCCAAGTTTCAAGTTCATTTAAGTCAATTCAGAAGAACACAAGAAATAAACATTATCGCCCCGACAGTAGACACCCACCTTCTATTCTTAGACTTCAGATTTACAAGCCTCATGTACTTACTTGACATACATGTTTATAATCAACAGAAATAGGTAATTTTAAACTACAATCTCACAAATGGTTATTTTAAAACTGGCACACAGTATTCATTAACAAGTGCATCAAACCACTCTTAGCATTGTTGCAATTTTTGTCCTTGCTAGCACTTAGTTTTGCTTCTCACCTTGATACATATTAGATTGATAGATAGTTTTAGATACTTTTATCTTTTAGTTAATTATGTATTACTTATGTTTTAAAATTCATATGTTAAAGGTTTAATAATTTTTTTAATATAACCCAAACACTGCCTTGCTCTGTGAGGCTTAGGTTATTAAGCGAGTGCAAAACATTTTGCCAAAGGCTAAAGTATATCTGCTGATAATAGCATTATATCATCCAGAAGTACCTACTAATGCATGTGGAGGTGAATAATAAATTAATCTTCTTGGATGGGTTAGAAGTTGTGACGTAAAGGTGCAAAATCCTGTTTGCTGTTGTTAACCAGCGAGAATGGTTCATTGTACCAGTACTCTTGAACAATGACCTGACACTACCGTGTTGCACATGTCATACAAATACTTTTGATCTGTACTAAAGATCCTCAGGATGGTCAATTTTTGGTAATGGCTCTGTAATTTTGACTGAAACAAAGTTTACTGAAGGCAATGATTCACAATTCTTCAATTTCTTTTCGAGAGGAACAGTAAAAAAGGACAGGACACATCTACAAGTAGGTTTTTTACAGTCAAAACTCTTCGAAGCTACTCAGAAATAAAAAGTTGGGCATTTGCTTTTCTTTTGTTTTCTGAATTAAACTAAATAAATGTTACAAATGTGGACTGTAAAATATTTTTGATTTCAAAATGGTTTAAATAGTTAGAATTAACACAAAGTTGAGTTAAGAATTTTTGGCTCAAAAACATAAAAGTGGTGGAAAAAAAAAGATTTGTCAAAATAATTGGCAAAAAAAAATATCAAAAGCCAGATGAAACCCTGTTTATAGATAGGAACCAAGCAAACTCTGAACTGTTAAAGCAGTGTATAGCTATGCATCATCAGATGCACATAGCAGGTGAAAGTTACATTAATAATGATGTGAACATTAAGTTGAATACTAATGATTTATGAGTAGTACTAAATTTAAATCCATTTGCTGTTCCCCTACATGCAAATGAAATATTGTTCCTATTGATGTACCAGAAAGACTTAATACAACATTCACTGCAACTTTCTAAATTAAAACCTCTTCCAAGAGAAAATATAACAGAATTCATCAAAATTACAACCAAACCAAAGGGACCTTTACTACTGTTAGAAACAAAGAGTCTAATGTCACAAAATATCATTTTTTCCCAGGAAAATAATTCAGTACTTCTAGTGTTGGTTGATGACACAAATAACTACAATGTTGACTCAATGGTGAGTTGTGTTTTACCCTTTTTTTTATAACTTAGTGGTCTCCATTTCTCAACTGTTATATACTGTTATCAAAACAAATCACAGTAATTTGTTGCTTTAAACTTTTTGTAAGAGATGATATCCTGCAAGGTTTACACATAGCATGTTTATCTTATTGTTAACAGGTTTCCTTGCTTCAGGAGAAGCTACTGTCTTCACTATGTAGTGTCTAAATTTCAAAGAATTTGAGTACCAATTTAAAGATAAGATATTCTCATATGATATTGTAGTTAATGTTTAAATTTTTCAAGATGTCTGTATTTTTCTTTTATTTCAGTTTGAATGTAGAGAATCACGTAAGCCACTCAATTTACCTATTCTCCAGTGCATGTGGTACATAAGTTCATTAACTGGCAATTAGTCATGTTTTCTTACAGGAAAAATAACATGTGGAATAGAAAGCTGTCTTTTCTGTCACCTAAAATGGATAATGGCTAAGCACTACCATGTCCTTGCATTCTGATCACAATGAATGAAGGTAATGTGTGCAAAGTGGAGTTATGTACAAATATGGCTGTGTGCAATATTACTGTGTTTTGGTACAGAAAGGCACGTTTGTCCCATAAGAGAAACTTTTAGTAATGTAACTTTCAACCATTTATATCTATTGCAGTTTTTGTTTTCCCAAAAGGGGGGTCAACAGCTACTGGAGGGGTCACCTGATTTAACCACTCACACCTCTATAGAGTAATGTGTGGTCAATCAATCAGTAAATACTAAAATAACATCACATAAGTGATGCTTAACATTGCAGTTTTTACTGTCGTGAAGTCACTAAAACGTGCATGCCATATGAACTTCAAAATCAAGAAATAAAAATATTTGTTACTTTTTAATTTTGGTTTTATTTACAACTGAAACAAAACACTTTCAGGGACACTGCAGAAGTACATCTTTGGTAATACTTTTCTTCACATTTGCTGTTCTGAGTAAAGATGGAATTTGCTTTTTTACTTTGGAGAAAAACAAACCCCCCAATCCATGACTCAACATTCTCTGTATACACTGCAGAATATCATATCATATGATCACTTCTGAATTCTACCCATACAGGGTGAGCTTTGGCAATTATATCTTGATGGCATTCAATTAAGTTTTTTTGGTTCACTGTCTTGGGGTAACAGACACTTTTGAGAAATTGTAGTCCTTATATAGAACAAAATCAGACCATTACTAAAAAAGTAAGTTACAACAAGAAGATACATATTATGGGTTCATTGACTAGAAAAATAAAGTAATGTGTAGGTCTTCTGCCTAATTTAATTATTCAAAAAAACAGTTTTCCCACCTAAACCACTCATAAAATCTCAATATTACTGGGGCCAAAACATGTTTATCTTTTACCAAGTAATACTTACCAATTATCAGGCAATTGTTTTTGTTTACAATTACAGTGAAATGCCTTACTCTTTTCTCCAAAGTCCTTTATCTAACAAATTGTATTTTCCACATTTTGAAACTGGTATTTGTAGAATAACAGATTTATTTCTGTATCATGCTTCATCTCTAACAGAGAGACATAATTACATGATGTTTCAAAACTTCATCTGTTCGTAAGTTAAGTAGGTACCTCTTAAAAAATAAAACCTATTTGTAAAAATACATACACATGTGAATCAAATTGGTTGAAAAAATATAGGTTTTTAGGTAATTATCATTTAAAAAATCCCACTTTCAAAACATAAGTCTTAACAGGCTCTAAGGTACATTGGGAGGTCCGTAGAATCAGATTAAGAACCCAGAAGTCATGAGAATGTCTTTAAACTACAGAAATCACAGAAGAAACATTTAACTAGATAAGGGAAGTTTGTATCACACCTTATAAAACAAACAATAAAAATTGAATTACCTGTTGAAGTGTAGCCAACTCTTTGCTGTCAGCTGTAGCACTGATTGAAGGATTGATTCCTGAAACTAAAGCAGCTACTTCTGTGTGCCGATTACATTTCACAGGGTGGCCATTTAAATACAGCCAAGACTTTTGTGCTGTTGGACCACAAACCGGTTGTCCACGCTTATCTTCATTGCCTTTTCCTAGTGAAAAAATTATATTCTAGCATAAATATTGCTTACTTTACTTCCAATACAATTTAAACAGATTGAAAACAAAATAATGTGCCCTAGATAAAGAGCAGGCTAGAATCCACACACAGGAGAGGACGTAAGAAAGTGATAGACATGATAAACAACTTCAACAAAGAAACTTAGTATATAGGTAGCCTTTGCCATACTTAAGTCAAATTAACCAAATAAGACATGCAATGGTCTTTAAAAAAGTTTAGCAAAAAAAATTCATTTTTTCAGGATACTGGAAAAATATTTAAAAACACTAGGTTTATATGTTAGCTAAGTACATGTTTGCCTAATAAATAAAATGAGTCAATGATTATTCACTTCCCTTCACTGGTTAAAAATTATTTGAGTATTGAAATGGTTATAGATATAACACTCAAGACTCCAACATGACAAAAACACTTATAAAAATGTAGAACAATAATAAATTGTTGGGAGTAATAAGTATGGTGAAGTGTACAGAATATTGTTACAAGTAGGTGAATGATAAGTTAATAAATCTTTCATTGTTTCTAAACGTTAAACATTGCAGTAATGTGTGTGTATGATACATTTTCAAGTTAAAAAAAAAGAAACTTAATTCTAAACTATTTTGCTTGTTAGTTTGAAGATAAAAGTTCCTCTAGCTTTATTTTTTTTGCCACTTGATAAAATGTTTTGAGACAAATTTTATGGTTAGTTTTCACATACAAATTTTTTAAGTTGATTTTATGTCAATCCTAACTGTATTTTAACAATTTTAACTCAAAATTTTTTTATAATTGATGTTTTGTCATTTTCTAACATTTATTGTAATTCATGAAGAAAAATAAAAAAGAAGTTAACATTTTAATTTCTGTACAACTGCAAGAGAGTTTTTGCCAATAAACAAAACATCCCAAATGTCGATGTTTTTCTAATGTTTTTTATCCATCCCAAAGAATAACTATTTTTCTTAAGCACCTATCACCCCTTAATAATAAATTATCTATTTGGTGATTTTCAAACATTTCTCTTAATTTGTACAGGCCTTGGTTCAAACCTTGTGGTGCAATATCAAGTAGTTTAATCATTTACTAATGAAACACAGCCTTGAAAGCAGCTGTAAAGAAAGTTTAAATATGAATGGATAGACAAAAATTAGACTACCACATAATAGAGGAGTAAATATACAGGCGTAAGGTTTCTTTTTTTTAAAGTTACTGTAAACATTCCTTTCATTTGTGGATTGTGAAATCAATTGTGTTAAAATTCCTTAAGACATAATAAAGGTACCTTGTTGATGTTTAATTCTTTTTTAAAATTATATACTTTTTAATACACATACATACATATACTACAGTTTTATTTATTTTCAGTGTTTGTAAACATGAGTTTCTTTGGGATTTTTTTTTTCACAGAGTGAAATAAAATTATTAAATCAGATAAATTTAGTTAAGTTTTCCGTTTGGTTAGTATGGTAGGCAACTGCAAAATATTCTGATGACACAAATCTTTGTTGAATATCATATTTTTATCCTATTCAAACAATGTACATAAATAAACTGGTTAACTGGCTATTTAATTATTTCTAATTGCAATCACATTTCTTAAATAAAAACATCAGTGCCCTTATTGGTGATAGATAAACATGTTTTAATTATCTGATTATCAATTTATTTGATTTACAGAAGATTACTGCATATCTTAAAAACAAAAATAACAGTGACCATATGGTGATGGTATCTAGTAAACATTAGCAATTTAATCTCCAAGTAGAAAGGTAAAGATTAAGCTATTTAGACAAACCTGTGGCAAAATATTTTCTTTAGACAATTTTTTCTTTCTTGCAAAATGCAAAAATAGCAGCTTTCAAAGGTGAGAGGAAAGAGAGAGTAATAATCAATTAATAAACACATCTATGTCAAAGAGCTTCATGTAGACAAACGAATACATAAAAATATCTGCTTCCACAATGATTACTAAACAAATGCAGGAACCCAGAGACTGGGAGAAATAATTACTTAAGACATAACAGAACATGAATGCACTTGAGGTAGTCCAATAATGGTTCCCAAGGAAAACTAAGCAACCACTATAACATATTTAATAGTGTATGTATTCAATATGTTGGCAAGACCCTGAAAGCATATGTTCAAATATCAGAAACATCATTATAAATAATTCAAATATGGCTTTTGACCCACTTAATAGTATTACTTTATCCTGACATTAAAGAACTCTGTCTAAACCTGTAAAAAATACCAAAATACCTATCTAAACAGAAAGAACAACAAAAACATTTTGACTGCTTTGAAAGTTAACAACTAAGATGCCCAAGATGAAGAAAGTGGATGAAAAAATTACTCATATAAATTTGTCCACTCTTTCACAGTATAATGTTTGGGGCTTTTCAGCAGATTTTACACAAAAAGTAAAACCTTAAATACTTTTGCTGTTAAAAAAAATAAAAAAATAAGAGTACAAAGAATCTAAAATGAGTTGTATTTCCCTCCTTAAGATAATATAAAGCTCCTTTACGTAACATTATTACTCAACAGCTAAGCTCAAAATTGCAGTTCACAGTAGAGTATTTTACAAGATTAATTACAAAGGCCAGCGATGGCTTTATTATCTTGAAATTTTTACATGTTCTACAGAAATGCCTGTATGCTGAATCCAAAAGTGATATCCATTTTTCTCCATCACATATAGATTTTTCACAAAACGTCATAACGTGATACATAAAAGAGAGATCATAACATATAGTTTTGAGACTAAAAGACGTAGATTTCAAACGAAAAAAGGGATGAATGAGGATGCATATTCATTTGACATCAATGTTCTTCCCTTTTGTTCAGTTTGTTTGTATTTTTGTTAACAAACTTAATAATAAAAAATGTTCATTGTGGTAAATGAAATAATAATTAATAATTAATAGTTTTTATTCCCGATTTGTAAAAATTTCTTACATGACAGAAAAAAAATAATATTATTTTCAAAATCTGCATAAATGAATTATGGAAAATCCGTTATTAAAAAGCAAAACAACTTTTACAAATTTTAAATATGCAGGCCTGTATTATTAAATATGAGTATATTTTTTTCCATTACAGTTACTATCCTAAAATACCAACAATAATCAAAGTAATAATTTTGCTTGAAAGCTAGGTAGTCTAAATTAGACTTTCACTATGAGTGAGAAGATAGCCATGTGCATGATTAAAATATTTCATTTAATCACTTGAGTCTTTCAGTTTGAACAGGTCAAAGTGTGCCATGACCTTTTTCAGAATTACATTCAAAATTTAATTAAACAACATTATCAATGTATGCCAATAAAACTTGGCATCAAAGTGTAGTTTATAATTCAAGATTTTATACTATCTAAGTGTCAATTTCTGAACTTAAAAAGGAAATATTCAAAAAACTGTCTTTCTTTTTGTGTCACATGACATGTCTGAGCTCTGAATTTTCCACTTCAGAATTTTATACCTTCAATAACAGGCTTCTAAAGTTTCCAACCAATAAGGAACACAATATTTAGATAATTATAAGCAACAATACAAAATCTAAGCCTTCAATAAATTTGTCACAACTACCAGAAAAGACCCTCCTTTCTCTCTGTCTTTCGATATTGATTGCTGATCAACTTTATGTGCTTGATAGCCATTCTTGTAAATAAATAGGAAGAGCAGATTCTCCTCTACATAATACTTATTGCAGTTATTTCATTTTAGAATACATTAAGTATACAGTTAGCTGTAGTCTTTTTTTATTGTTTTTCTATGATCATTTTTATTCTATTCTGAATAGATAAGAGAATTTTAACTTCGTTATAGCTTACTTAGAAAGTCACATAAATTAGAGTTACATGAATTCTGTTTTTGGAGACCCACATTTATGAGAAAAAATTAAGAGTAATGAAGATTGGCTCCTGACAACAAAAGGGCATGGACTCTGAATTAAGTACTAAAATTCTTGTTTTTAGTGTATATTCTTATTTATTGTTATACATTTTTAACAAATGTAACTAAAATATAAAAACTGAAATTTTCTACTATTTTGAATAAAAATTCTCTAAAGTAAAATATCTAAAATTACACTAGCAGTCCCCTAATTGCTCTTGCATGAAATAGGACATTAAATCACATGTAGTTTATATAAAGCTCTACCAAAAACATGTAATGAGTTTCTTTTGTGACTTGTTACTTTTTATCCACATTACTAGGTCCAAAATAAAATAATAAAAACCATAAAATTAAAATACAACAAAAATGAAAAGGTTAGAAGGTGCAATTGCAGTCCTTCATTTAAAAAAAAAGCACAAGGAAAGCTATAAATTGTTTTCCCTAAATTGCCAAGAGCAAATTGCTTAACTCGGAACAAAAATTATTTCTCGTAGTACTTGTTGATGACATCTTTGATTCTTTATTTTGACCACATAAAAGATACAACTTTCCAACCAGCATTGCCAAAAGTTATTGCATTGCACAAAACAAATGAACTGGAAAACTGTGTGTATGTATGATAAGTTGTAAGTTACACCTATTCTTTCGAGGAAAACATTCATGTAAGACTGATACTGATTGGCTCTATTCTAGTTGAATTTGTTCTATCGACCAATTAGAGCAGCCTATCGATCTCCAATGGAAATTTGTCTTAAAGTACACCGATTCACACATTCATCATCAAATCATGTTGGCTTGGAAAGTAAGTTTGCTATATGATCAAAGTGAATGAAATTCTCATATTTGCCTTGCTGATTATGGTGTTTTCAATTTTTTTTTTAAATCCACTCTTAGCTGTTATTTACCCTCCTTGGACAAAGTTAAAAAGCACAAGCAAGATTGCAATCCTTAACAATGATTTCCTGTAGTTGTTAGCATAACTAATTTGGAATTGACTCTCTTCCAGAGTGCAGTCCTTATAGACAAAAAGATGGTATTAATTTTTTGTATTTTTCAACTTTTTATTTCACTCTAAATTGATGATTTCACTACAGTTAGTTTTGAGGTAGAAAATAATAAGATCAAATATATAGTTTTACTGAAAAACCTTTTAGTATTCATTTACGAGTTTGTAGTTTATGCAAATGAAATATGAAAACTGTAAGGTCAAAAGAAGTATTTTTATTCTTGAAATAAAAATCACTTTTTACTTAGACCAACACTTAAGTTGTAAAAAGTTAAAAAGGGTTCTCCTGAAATCTACTCACTCTTAGTCTATAACTTTATGTGAGAATTATTTTTTTTTTCCTATTAACAAGGAAAATAGTGTTCCCCTCCATTCTTTCTCAATTTGAACACTGACTCAGTAAAGGTTCAGACAAATCTTTAGTAAAAATACTTTATCAAAAACCTAACTTCTAATGTACAAAAGACTTGTAATGTTTACTAAAAGCTTCCAAAATTTTGTGAAGATACACTTAATAGATTCAGAGTTATAGTATGTATATTTCCATGATTAAAAGATAGTTCCAAGACATGTTGCATCTATCAACTTCATACAGAAACAGTAACATAAGAAAAAAAACTCACCTGAATTTTACTCTACACTTACACAGATAAATAATTTTGTTGTGCTAGCAATATAAACTAAGTGTATATTACAAATTCTTTATATATATTAAAATTAAAAGTTTGAAAGAAAGGTTACATTACCATGCCATGTAACTTCAGCTGTTTCCTCTCCATCTTTTCCAAAAATCACCCATGCATGATCCTCTGATAAAGCAAGATGAACATCACTATATCCAAGGATTTGACATGCAGCAACAACAGCAAAAGCAACTCCAAAACAGTCCAGTTTGTTCCCTTCAAATAAGTGAAAGATAAACAATTTTATCATTCAGAATTGAAACACTTTCAGATAGATCTAAACACAAAATCCCACCCAGTTCATTCCACATGTGACACTGATTTCCAATGATCTTTTCTCAAATAGTTAGGTAGGTAAGATAAAGGCTCCTAAACTAAAGAAATATGATCACATGTACTATTATGTACAAGAGAAATATAACATGTCCATCCATCCATAGATGAGCTTCCACTTCAATTTTATAAATGTAAATATCCAACATTTATGACCTACCCTTGAATGTCTTATGATATTAACCCTCTAGCTTCAGGTAAATCAAAGTGTGCATGTCACAACCTTTTACAGCATAGCATTCAAAATTTAAACTACTTTATGTTCACAAGAAGCTTGTGCTTTACATCATTCAACATGGAAATGTGTGTTACACATTCACAGAGTGATTTACAAGTTGTGTGGCAGGATTATTAGTTAGGCATGATTCAAAGGGCAATAAATAATAAAACTGTTATGAGTCTTAAGCTATTTAGGATAAGCAATTGTAGTTTTCTGTTACAATACACAATCATTCTAGAAAGCAAAAAGGTAACTTAAAACTTATTTTGTACTTTTTGTGGTGGTTATAAGCTGTCAAATTGGCTGAGTCCATATAGAGTTAGGATAGAGAAAAATAACAGATAAAAAAAAGTTTGATATTTATTCAGGTTTTAGAAGTTACACAAATGAAATTTAAAATTTTGAGATGAAGAAGAGTATTTTTAATCTTAACATAAAAATCACTTTACACTCGGAACAGTCAACACTCTTACTCCCTATATTCGTGGACAAATCTTTAGTAAAAATATTTAATTGATAAACCTGTACAAAATATTTGTAATGTTTAGTAAAAGCCTGCCAAATCTCATAAAAATACATTAAGTACTTTCATAGTTGTAGTGTGTATACCTTCAGGGTTCTATGGTGATTACAGGGCTGTGTAAAATACACAAGCCTATGTCTAAAGGGTAAATATGGTCATTAATAATCAGTGTATAATATATCTTTATTTGGGTAACTTTTTTCAAGATTTTCAGAGTTTTTCTGCATGTAGTTATTAGCTTCCAAGTAAACTGCATGTAAAAAAAAAGTCATAAACATACACTAATGCTCTAGATTAACTAATCATTACCTTCTAGAAATTTTCGGCAACTTGACTTATTTAGTATATATTGAGAGTTTATATCCTTTGAATAAGCTTATTTGGAATAGTCATTCACATGAGTAATCTAAAAGATTGTAGGTTATCACACCTTGAGTTGCCATTAAAATGGGATATCTCCATGATCCTCTCTCTCTCTCTGATAACAGATCTTTCTTTGAACCTGCTTTTTGAGTAGCAACTCTCTCCAGCTTCAACAGCCAGCTACAGTCATGCTGTAAATCAGAAGCTGGCCAGCAAAGTAGAAAACTTTCATTATTTGTTTAAATAAAGATTGTTATAACTTGCTAAATTATATGCTTGTGTATTTGTTTGAAATATTACTACTCTGTATATTTCCAGAATTTGCATTCTGTGGATATTTATAACTATCTGATGGATATCAGTGAACATGAATAAAACAAATTAACCCTACCATTATGGGTTGGGTGGGATCCACCCAGCTCGTACTCACAAAAAGTAACCATGAGAGTAATTATACTATGATTTTTGATAATGTATGCATATCTTTACAAAATTCCGCAATTATTAGTAAACACTATAAGGCTTTCTTATGCAAAACATAATATTTTTTTATATAAAGGTTTAAGATTTCTTAAGTAACATTTTTTTATCATGCCTTTTTTTCTTTTCGAATGTTGACTATCCAACATGCAAAGTGATTTTGATTTTAAGATTCCAAATAATTATCAAATGTTTTTTTAGAAAAAAAATTTATATTTTATCTGTTATTTTCACTACTGTATCTGTATGGGTTAGGTCAATTTGAATGACCTCGTGACCACCATAAAAGAGTTAGGAAATAATTAAATATAATGCCTTTTCATTCTAGAATGACTACAAATTATAACATGAAAACACAAATGTTTAGTCTAAATAGCTTAAATTTCATAACATTATAGACTTATGTATATTTTAATTATTATCATACTAACCCATCAGCCATGCCTGGCTAACATTATAGAAGTTGCAATGATGTGGCGTACATGCACTCATGTTACCGTATCCAAGAATATAAAACTGGCATTTACAAAGTGACCTGTCTTGGCTGTGTTTTAGTGGACTACTATTTTGTAAAATACAGTCACATTTCAGTTTTAATGTATTATATATGTATATACATTATTACTATTTGAAATAAGTTATTAAATTTCTTAAAACATAGAATAGTAAATAAAGAATTATAGAAAACAATTGTCTCTTCTAGTTATGAACTTTGAACTCATTTGCTACTTGCCACAGGTTGCTAAGCCTTATTAAATTTCATACGTGGAGGATGTGAAACGAAATAATTTTTTGAAGTTTTTACAATAACAAAAAAAAACATAAATTACTACATCAATACCAGAGAATTCCACTATAATTTATCAAGCTTAGTAACTAAGCTGTATTTAGGTCCAAAAAATATGAAATTTTAAGCTCACTAAAGTTTTACCTTACCACTTCGATTCTAGCATAAAAAGAAAAAATTTGGCACCAGAATACTTCATATTGGCTGAGAAATCCACTAGGTAGACATTCTGAGCTTTTGATTGGTTATTCACATGTCATAGACAGAAGTAGGGGTGCTACTATAGTGTGTACCCTACAAAGACATTTACACTATAACATGTGGTCTACACAGATACTATCATCATCACCATTCTAATGATTCACTAAAACATAATTTCTTGCTAAATAATAATAATTTAATAAATTGGGTGTTCAAAAAGAGTACCTTAAATTTAGGTTATAATTGTGCTAGTTTTGTTTGTTGGAATTTATTTCATTCCGATTATATTTGCCCCAAAAATGTTATATAATGGTATTTTGTACTTTATTAGTTTAAAAGCATTATTTGTAATAAATGGCACTAATTACAAATAAACAAAAGTTAAAACAGTGATGATGATGATAGTATCTGTGTATATTAGTTTAGTAGGTTCTAGAGGTTAGGATAATGAAATATTAAAACTGTAAGATGAAAAGAAGTATTTTTATTCTTAACATTCAAATCGCCTTTCAGTTAAGTTTCATTCAAACTGACTCAATAAAAGCTTTGGAAATTCAGCAGACAAGTCCTTAGTAGAAAAACTATCAAAAAACCAGATTTTTTCACATACAACTAACTTAATGTTTACTAAAATCCTCAAATTCAGAGTTCTGGGGGTCGATCCAATGGATCTAGTTACTTGCAAAGAGTTTATGTAAAATATAAAAATTATTCTTAATTTTTAAATTATGAGACATTAAATAGTCTTTGTGTTTAATAACACACTGACCTATTTTCTATTTGGTAACATGATATTTCTCTATACAAAGTTCTATTATCTGTTCTTAAGCTTGGCCTAACAGACAGCATCACCAACACAAAATTACCATTTGCAAGATATACTTCCCAAAATATAGTGGTTGGTCCCAAGATTGACAGTAGAAAGCAAAGCAACTGCAAAGTAAGATAATCAGGCAGTGGTGGGTTTCAAAATTTTTAATAACTGGTTAGCTCCCCAGTTAAAAAAATAATTGCAATTTTTTATTTACCTACTTTCCTTTAAATATATGATTTACGACTTAATTATCTATATATAGTCATAACCAAGAGGGGATGGAGTGAAACAAAGGTCTGTTTTAACAAATTTATTTACAAATAAAAGTAAAAAAAAACCACAGAATAACAACATGAAAATAACAATAGAAGAAAAAAATGTTCGTCATCGTTGGTGGCAGCAGAGGAGAGGCAGTAAGCGAACTCCAGTGGCCTCAGCCTCTTAACCTAGGTGATCCAGGCCTAGGGGGTACCACACACTGGCTCGGGAGTCAGGCAGTAGTGGGCACTTCTCACTATTCTTTTAAATATTTCCAAATCGCCAACTGATTTTCATCATAGTCCTTATTTGCTCTATTTTTGACCCTATTATCCTCGGCTGTGTGGATATTTCTCAGCCACATTTGAACTGATGGAGTGGGGTCCCAGGAATCAAAGTTGTCATCAAATTTGCAACATTTCAAACTGTAAGGCGGCTTCTTTTATCTGAATATATAATATTCATAGCTGAAAAGCCTCTTTCTGCCTTTGCATAACTAACGGCAACAGCACTGAGTATATTTTTAGCCTTTTGTACAGTTTTAGGAATCTCGTGATTGTAGCGATTTATTAAAACATTTTCCAAATAGTTGCGGAAATCATTGATGTTAATTTTGTAATGGAAAACTTTATTCAATTCACACAATTTTTCTTTGGCAGCTTTCCAAGGGACAACAACTTCATCAATATTCCACGAAACTGGCTTGAGTATGCTTAATAGTTTGTGAATTATATCACTATTTTGTGTATTATTATTTGTTGATTTTATATGGTCACAATCCATCAACTTGGCTTTCATATTTTTAATGATTGCTTCCAGTAGTTTTTGACGAGGAAGGCTTCCATATATTTAGTTTTCTGTAAAATCAATATTTTTAATAGGCATCAGAATATATAGTTTCTTCAACTTTCTTTTCAAAGGTTCCACGACTTTCTTTGAGCATTTCAAGAGCCAAAATGGTCCGTTTTATAAGTTTTTCAGCTCTTGCAATATTTAAATGTCTGACTTGAAGGGTGTTAGAAAGCAACAAAATTTCTTGCAATTTGTCTATCATTATTGCTAAATCGTCTAAGATGCGTTTGTTGCGAAAATGGGCAGCCATCCCTGAATATTTTTTGTTTGAAGAAAAATATTTGTATAAAGCTGGATAAGCATGCCATACAGCAAGTGTTGATTTCAAGCTGCAAACAGCCCATCTTGATCCTAAAACTCTACCAATTTTTATAATCTCTAGTCCAAGTGCTTCTGAAATGCTGAAAAGTTTGGTTTGATTGATGAAAAATGGCATAGATTTTATCGATTTTTAACATTTTGAAATGATTCACTTGTTTTATTTCAGCAATAGAATCATCTAAAACAAGTTGCAGGTGGTAATGCAAACAATGCCAAATGATGATGTCAGGAAAATCTTTTATAAGTCTGGTGCTCACCCCTGATTTGTGACCAAGCACACTTGCACCATCCGACCAAAATGCGACCAATTTTTTTTTCAAATATCCAATATCAAATCCAACTTTGTGTAAAGTTTTTAACAAATTTGTGTATATAGTTTCAGAATTCTGGACTTCCAACTCAACCAAATCAAGGAAAATTGTTGGAGAAACATCATAATCTACGACCTGTAAAAAAATTATGAGCACTGATTTACTAGATATGGTTGAAGCTTCATCAATGATGATACAAAGCTTTAAATCTTTTTTTTGATTATTTTAGTAAATATTTCCTTTCAAATTTCTCTTGCAATGTGATCAACTATTTTAACAGCAGTTTTTTGAGAATGGAGTCCCACTTCCATGTCCAACCCATTTGTTACTTGTAATTCAATTTCATCTTAAATGTCTGAAAATGGCATACTTCTTTTTGCTATACTGTAAATTGTATTAAAAATTCTACAGGTAGAGCTTGAATATTTTTGGTTCATTTTATCTATACATTTGGTAATTATATCATGATCTTTTACTTGTTTTATGCATATTTGGTGTGCCTTCGATGAAAAATGTTCATTTTTTTTCTTCTGAAAGATGCTTGTTGGATGATTTTATTCTTTCCTGATGCTTCAAAACTGCAGCTTTTCCATTCCATCGATACATGAATTCCCTTTGTGTTCAAGGAATCAAATCTTGCACAGTAATTACAACCATTTCTTGTGAACAAACAAACCATCATATTTTTTTCTGGAATTACTCAACCTGCAGTCAGGAAGAGCAGTTACTGGAAATTCATCTCTGGTTTGCACAGTATTAGAAGTGCAAATTTCATCACCTATTTGTGTTGAATGTTCACTTGGATCTTCGTTCGAGCTTTCAGATCTCAGATAAAACCTGTTGTCGCTTCATTTTGGGGGCTAAAATTTAATATGTCAATAAATTTTGAATTTTAATAACCACTATGGAAATCAAATTTATAGGTATAAAAATTATCGCATCTAATTACCTACTCATGATAAAAATGATTATATAGTGTTATTTATACGAAACAAATTACACTGATAAAAATGGCTAAACGTGCGAGAAACAGACGACCACTACTGTGTCTAAGCACGCACTGAAAACTGAAGCCAACCTACCAACGTCCTCTCACAGCAAAATAATGTGCCCACCTACGCTCTGTGTACCGTGTGCACAAGCAGCAAGTTATAACCTACTGCAACATTATGTTGACACTT